ATTGAAAAGTAGCCCTTGACCAAGGGCAGTGCGAAGATATAAAAGCAAGATGCAAGTACCTCAGAAATCGGAGAACATAAAAATCCGAAAATCTTTCAACCATTTTTTGAAAACTGGGCGGGAACTCTCCCCTCCCCCTCCTTCGGTCTCGCTGATCCCCTCTTGACCTTCCCCTGAACCCAAGGGTGTGCCATGCAAATTTTGGCAGCTTTAGCTCTTACAGGGACTGAATGCATAGAGAACAAACAAACAAACATACAAACAAACTTTCTTCTTCATATATATAGACAGATAGAAGAAAGTGTTTTCTTCAGAATGAGACGTTTACAGAATTTTCCGATGATTTTTCGCGGAGATATAAGCATCGCGGCAAATGCTCTGGAAAAAGTGACCTATGTACAAAATGCGTTTTTTCTCGAAAACTATATGTTTGCTACCAAGTTTCATTAAGCTACATTACGACCCCCCTTAAATTTCATCCGATCGAATTCAAAATTTTACCAGGGGTACTCAAGACACTATTGCAGAGGTCATTTTTTGCAATGTTATTTTAGACTTTTCTTTAGCCAGTTACAGGGTTTCTAAAATTGAAAAACTTGGTTTTTGAGACGTTTTTCAGTGTTTTTCCTTCATGCTTGGCATACTTTGTTCTACAGGAGAAAGATCAGAATTATGCGCGTAATTCGCAATTTTCTCCATAAGAATTTACCTTTCGCGCAATAATAATATCATAATCGGAATCAGTATCAAATACTGAGTCGAATAATGTACTTTTTTTTATTTCATCCGATTACTTTAGGTTTTTTGACTTTTTGTGTTAAAAAATCACAGATTTTCACCAATAAATGAAAATAAAAAAAATTGGAAATATATATATTCGACACTGATTCCGATTATGATATTATTATTGCGTAAAATATAAGTTCTGATGAAGAAAAATGCGAATTACGGGTTGAATTCTGATCTTTCTTCTGTAGAACAGAGTATGCCAGGCATAATTTTTTTTTCTTCAGTTGCATAACGTTTCATAGGTTCCTTCAAGACGCATATAATGGTATATGACACAAAGTAGATAGAAGCTTTGTCTTCATGCAACAGTTAAATAATAGTTGGCGTGTGTTCTATCATCATGTATAGTAATCAGTATAATCCATATAAAATAAGAACATCATAATCATTTTTCATAGTGTGATATACCAATTAGTAGGTCTCAGGAATATCTATCATTTTATATGTAAACGATTATCAGAAGTTGTTCCTTACTGGCGAAAAAATCGGAATACTAATCTTTGTACCCTCATTTTGCCCGAAAATTTAAAATGACTATATTCTAGGCAATTCTTCATCTGTAAGGTGGAACGATTCTTTATCACATGCAGACTTTGAATGCGTTTTTTTTCTACAGGCTAGCAGTTATCATTTTTAACTCTTTTCTAATCGTGACTGTGGCTATTGTACAGTGCCACTTAGAAATTGGCAAGAATGTTTTAAATGCGCAAACGAGATTGACCTTTTGAATTATATAAAAAGTGATAACGTGTGTAAACGTCGAACGGAGACGCTAAACAGGATAGGATTATTGATTCGAAATACAGAAAATACCAAAATCAAAGTTTGCACGTATAATTTTACCTATATAGGACAGACTTTAACATAATACAACAACCGAAATCAATTCTACAGAAGGATTAAATAAATTTTTAGCTGGAATCAGAACTAAAGAACATATAAAAAAATGAGTTTTTTCTCGGATTAAAACCGTAAAACAAATTCAACAGGATCATTTTTGCATTTTTCTGTATCAGGTTTTGTAAATGGAATCAATTCTGCAGGGATCTTTTTAGACTTTATCCATAGTTTAATACAAAAAAATAAAATTGTGCATGTTTTTTTAATAATAGGACAAAGGAATGCTGTATATATGCTGTATGTAACACTAAAATTAAGATGCCTGTATCTAAACAAGTACAAGATACGCATGAGAAAACTGCTGTGCTATCATTCTCTCTCATATTACAGTCGTTGTCTATATGTACAGTTACGGTTCACTGATTGTTTGATTTTAGCTGTTTTTTTCCGTATTTCTTTGAATTCGACGCAAGTATTGATAAATAGTATATTTACTTGATGCATCGTAGAATATAAAATTTCCTAACTTAAAAGTAAATCTGGTTGAAGATATCAACCTCGAATCAGAGTGAGAGAACTGCTTTTATTAAAATATGATCTTGTTTTTTTTTTGATTTACTTGTAGTTTTCATTCATATTCTGATTAAACATACGGATACGGCATGGCATTAGGCAAAGGTAGTGGTGATATGAGTTTTGGTATGAAATTTATTCGTCTATTAATTATTATATTCAACATAATATTTTTTCTCATTGGTCTTATCTTGTTAATAATTGGTTTGTACGTTTATCTGAATACTAAGTTACAGAAATTTAGTCCATTAATTAATGCTAATACAGGAACAAGTAATGTTACTCAAGATCAGCCAAAACAAAGTATGTCGACCATAAGAAAATTGGGGATTGCTCTCATGTCGATTGGAGGTATTTTGATGGTAGTAGCACTTCTAGGATTTCTTGGTTCTTTTAAAGTATTTAAAATTATACAAATCATTTATGCTGCTCTTATTGGAATAATTATTCTTGTTGAAGTTGGTTTCATTATTTATTTTTTTACCACACAGTCGAAAGTAAAGAAAAACCTCCTACCAAATCTTCAAAGTACTATTACGAATGGATTTATTGGATCAGTATCTAACGGATCCAACTCATCAAAAACAAATGATGTAACAATTGCGTGGGATCTGATTCAATTTAATTTAAAGTGTTGTGGAGCGTCCAATAAAACTGATTATAATTTTGCGAAAAATTGGAATCATATAAATCCTCTTAATACCACTGGTCCTCTACTAATGTATCCTTTAACATGTTGTCCCGTAGATGCCAAAACAAGTTGGAAAACCCTAGATGTAAAGACATTTAGTTCAGCACAAACATGTGCCGTTCAAGATAAAGGTGTTTACAGTAAAGGATGTTATCCAGAACTACTGTCTACAATAAGCGCTTACACAAAAGGTGTTGCTATCGGTTCCATTGTTGTTATTATTATTCAATTACTGGCATTTATATTTGCCATTGTATTAGTTAGACGAAAAACAGATTATACATCAATAAAATAAATGAATTATTGGTTATTTACATAAACAATGAACATAATTTTTGTTTACATATTTAGCGTTCATCTTTCGTTATTTTATTAAAATGAAGTCGTCCAATGAAAACAACTCGATAGATGATTTTCTAAAAGTTTTACAAGATTTAATAAATGCTTTTAATCCTCCACGGGTAATCACAGATATAGTATGTACGATTTGCACGATAGCGATGCACATTTTCTACAAGACTATGCCCTAAGTACAGAAACAATACTTCTGAACAACGAACTATTGCCAGTCAGAAATATCGAGTTTTAGGCAACTTACTTCTGCAATGTTCCAAATTTAGTACATGTGTTCTTTTTTACTGCCAAAGCTCCTTCGTACAAGTGTTTTTGTAAAGAGGTTCTCTTTTGAATAAATCTCATTCCTCATATCTACTGATATCTGAAGTGTCTTCATATCTGTTCACTAGAGGAACAGCATAATCCAATTACAACACGGATTCAATATTTTTTTATCTTTCTGTATTAGTTCCGTGGTGGAGTATATTACTCTGTGCAGGAATTCTTATTAATATGATGAAGATAAACTATAAACAGAACACGTGCTATAAGAAAAGAGATTTCACATGCAATGATTGTTGAAATGTTCAGCATCTTCATTAGAAAAATTTGGTGCTTGCTCTGTGTGAACTAAAATTAGATAGGAATTAGATGTCAGACGCAAAATTTCTTAGTGAACCGACCCCCCCGATTTCTTGGTGAACCCGACAGCGGGTTTCTTTTAATTTTATTTTGACTTGCGCACACACCATACGGTGTTGTGCTTTGTCGATGAGTTTACAAGATCTAAAAATCTGACATTTATATTTCAAGTTAGTTCATTTCTATAAAATAAAAAATAATTACTAAATTTTTCCTTGTGAAAAGTTCATAATATCTGTAACTGGTAGAACCTCATCTAGAACATCAAAAACAGTAGTAGTGATATTGACAAACAAAAAACTAGTAAAATTATCTTTTTTTTTAAAACACCAAAAGAATGCAGTAATCTACCATCTACAGTGATGGGTTCGACAATTATTCAACGCAACACAACGTGAACAGTCACTTATATCTTATTCAATTGCTTGTTTGTTTATCTCCCCCTCTTTCTTATCTCATTTTTCGAACATATCAAATGTATTGTTAGTACTGATAATAGTAGTATAAGCATCTATTTTTCTTATCTAAATTTTCTCCTCGCTTGTCTTTTTCTATAATCTATCTTTCTTTTTTGCTCGCTACGATGACATACTCAATGTTTTATGTATCCACTATAAAATCCACTGCGTTTTTATATACATCTTGACCTTGTCAAAAAATAACTAAAATGAAACAGAATCACCATGTGACTAGAACGAAAATCGATCGTAAAATATCATTTTTCCAAAAAAAACAAAACTTTTTACGCTTTTCAAAGGATGCACCAGTCAAATTCGACTGGGGATTGGTAGGATTGGTATCAGTTGGGCTTGTTACCAGTTAGATTTGGTACCAATCGCCCCAACCTCCAGTCAAGATTGGTACCAATTGGGCTTGTTACCAGTTGGACTTGGGTTTCAAAAAATATACGAAATGTAAGACTTAGTTTTATACTAATGGCGGATATATGTATATATTATCATATGCCATTATTCATTACGTTTAAACTTAATACTGGGATTTCTTATAAAAACACTCAACCGCCATTTCAGATCTAAAAGTAGCATAAAAGTTCAACGTTTAGACGATTGTTTAATTTAGCAGAGTTTCGAAATCAACAAAGGCAAATTAGTACACTGAAGGCCCAAAAAAGCATGGTCGTTTTTGTTTTTGTTCAATATTGTTACAGTATGATTCATTTCATTTCTTTCTCGTTCTTTGATACAGAACATATGATATACATATGTATCTCTCCTTATTTTTTTCATCAAAAAAACCTTGGAATTCCTATCTAATGTCACTCTAAAAATAAAAAAATTAGAATTTTTAGTATTTCATAAATTAGTTTAAAAAAAACATATATTCCCCTATATAATATATTTTTTATATTATTTATAATGATAATATATAATATTATTTATCAAAATATAAAATCAATTAAAAATTAATAATATGAAATATATAATCGAAATATAGAAATTAACTATAACTATGATGTACATATCAACATCATGTAAAAAAATTTTCTTGTTTATTAGTTAAAATTGAAGAACATAGAGTAAACTGGAGCAATTGGAAACAATTTTTGCCCCTTTGGATTTCTAATTCGTATAAATTTGTTAATTTTAATTATCTTTTTGCGCCCTTTTTACAGGTAGGTAGAGGAGAAAGTTCTCTATAAGATAAGCGGAAGATCATTTTTAAATAAAATGACTATTTTTTTTATTCAAATCGAGTAAAAGTCGGTTCAGATAGGTAAAAACTGAGCCGAGCATGAAGAGTGATTAATCTGTACATTAAAGATCATAAAGTATCGATTAATATTACAAAACTATGTTTTTTTCCAGTGAACCTTTGGAGACTCTCTGAGATCCCGAAAATATGTCCGTTCGATTCTTCATCAGTTTTTACCTATCTGCACCGACTTTTACTCGATTTGAATAAAAAATAGTCATTTTATTTAAAAATGACCTTCCACTTATTCTTACCGATTTTTTTCAACACAGGGAAAAAAGCAAATAAAAGCGATGCATACTTTTGTGACTAGACGACACCTTTCAAGTATTTCGTATTTTTCGACCGGAAGGAAGCATTTGTTAATGTTAAAAAGTAGACTTTTCCGATCAGCAGCTCACGCTCTATCAAATGATGTATGTAAGAAAAAGCCAAAAAATTTTTTTTCTCGAAGTTTGAATTGCCTGCACCTTAATAAAAATGTTTGGAAGACTTTTTTGTTTTGCAGTAAAAATTGTTTATACAGAATTTATAAAGCTTTTGACGGCGCATCTTTTGAAATCACGATGCTATCATTTTCTTAAGCCGAGATACATGCAAAATATAAAAGTATTCCAATCATTTTTATTATGTTAAATACGGTGGAAAGTAGGGCTATCATGTATTTTTTTCATTTCGAGTATGGAAGAAATCATTAGAACAAGTTAATAAGGATCTATTCTTACAGTTTTTGTAGAGCGACACCTTTCGAGTATTTCGTATTTTTCGACCGGAAGGAAGCATTTGTTAAGGCTAAAAAGTAGATTTTCGTGATCAGTAGCTCACGCTCTATCAAATGATGTAAGAAAAAGCCAAAAAAACTTTTTACTCGAATTTTGCATTGCCGATTATTATTTTGTCTTTTTTTATGTCATTTTTTTCTTAGGACTGAACTTTGTTTTTTTCATTGTATTTCATATTCAAGGGTTTTTTGTATTAAACAGGTGTATATATATGTATAGTACTCGACCTCTACTATACAGGCATATAATCAACTTAAATTAATATTGTGTAGTTTTAATACACAACTCAAAACAAAAAAGCGGTGCGAGACTTTTGACGTGCACTGTATATGCACTTCTTCCCGCTGATTCGAAAAAATGCATTCTGAAGATTCTGCGACACTGTGGAGCTGAGATATTGCATGTTTTACAAAAATTTGCGATTTTTCGAAAAGACGACAGCTTTCAATTTTTCGATTTTTTTCTCGTCGAAAGGCGCACTGAAAATTTTTTGAATAAGATATTTGTGACTGTAATTTTAAAATTAATTGGGCATCAGTGATATTGAAGAGATGATATAGATAGTAATATAGAGTATGAATATAATCCATATATTGACCTGATGATTTTTTCTGCACACGTAGATTTGTAGAACAGACTTTTCTGACCATAATTAGACGTTCCACAACTCTGTGTGATCTTGCGTTCAAAAATTAGAAGCATTTTTCTACATGTCCTAAAATAGACCTTCTCTTAGAACACGTTGTTTGTTTGAACATGGCACTACTTTTAAATATACTTCAAGCTAGAGATCGTGGGTGGTTTTATTTTAAACTAGACACCTAACTGCGTGGACTGATGGGAGCCGAGTTTTGAATTAGGCTTTTGTTGTCTTGAAAATCAAGGATCTCCAAAAAACCGAAAACATTTTTGGGGATTTTGAGGACCTTGAATCTGTAGGAAACGAACAAAGACCTAAATCAAAAATCTGGTCCCATCAGCTCACGCAGTTAGGTGTCTAGTTTAAAATAAAAACCACCCGCGATCTCTAGCTTGAAGTATTTATAAAAGATTGCCCTACAGTGGAGGGTGGGTTTTTGACCTTGGACTCTGGAAACCTGGAACGGTATTCGATGGCGAGGAAAAAAAAATTGCATAACCACACTTTGATATGGCACACATTTGCTGAAAGTGCCATCAGAATCAGATGTAAGACCAAAAATTTTTGCTGAGGGAAGGGCCCTTAAATCAGTTTGTTTTGGGTATTTTGTTAAAACTTTGTGCATAGTAAGATATTTCGAGCATATATTCTGAGAGACACCTCCTTTAAACCAAATTACGAAATATAAAAGGATCGACTGAATGTTCCTATAGCGATATATTAACTATAGTGTAGAGTCTACACGATAGAAAAACGAACTTGTGATATCCCACGAGAAGAGAGAAGAAAAAAGAATAGACATCTAGCAAAGAAGGAGATATCTGTTCTCTCACAGGCACGATGTATATCATTATATCCTTTTTCCCTTTCTCGTGTGAGGAAGAATGAGGAAAAATCAGTTCACAGCAGAGACAAACTTACTGAGATTTTATGAGAATGGTTACCACCCCCTGCTTTCAGAAAAGGATACCGTCGGTTTATTTTTTTTTCCTCCGTTCAGCAAGACTTACTCTATCTTTATACATATACTTTTTCAATGTTCATGACCTCTTGTCGCGCTTCACGGCTTCTATTTACTTCTCATTGTACATTATCGATGAACTATCCCGATACGGTGCACTGCTTTGGTTGATTTTCATATTTGTATACCCACAGTATAGTTAGTGGTATCAGGTAGGATTAATTCCCGTTACACCCTAGCGAACACTGATCGAAGGGCGGTGTAAGCGTTGTCTTTAATTCCTAGTCATCGAAGGTCGTTCGCAGATTACAAAAATGAACTTTAGAATTAACTGTCAGGAGGAGTTGCACACAAGATTTTCTATTAGTTTAAGTGGGTGAAAATAGAGAAGTTTCTTTTAATTTTATATGGAAGGTGTTTTTTTTAGTCACAGGGGTTCATGTATTATTGAGATATTTTATAATTTCAGCTAGTTTAGTACGCGAATTTTGATTTTATCTATGGAGGCTTAAGTCCATTATGAATTTGGGGGTATTCTGGACTTCAAAAGAATATATTTCAGAGAATTTCAAAGTGAAAGGGGCAGTGTGAGAGTGAGTTGTCGATGAAACACGATCACTCTATGATTTGAGTTCTCGGCGTGATATTAGCATTTTGACAATGTTGTTTGGTTATTTGTATTTGTATTTATCTATTGGTGTCCATTCATTCAATTATCGAAGATTCAAAGCAAGAAAATAAGAAAATAAAAGTCCAAAATCATAAAAGATTCAGAAAAAGAAGTTCAGAGTCAGAAATCAGTAGACCTTTGAACAAAAAAGAGCAGAAACAAGATAGAAAAAGTTTCAAAAATCAGAAATTTTTTGCCAAAATTAGAAGATCTGGTAGCCCTGGTAGTGGAGTGACCTTATGGTTTATTAGGTAAAGTGATAAGTATTTTGTATTTTTTTCTTGTTCTTTATTAGTTAATTATTATTATTTTGACAATAATTATTTTTATTAACTTATGTATATTAATAGTGATTTATTTTTGAGTAGATTTTAAATGAATAATATATATTTGTTGTTATTATTATTTCCAAGTTTAATATGTTCAAATATGTTTTTATGTTTGATTGATTAATGAGTTTATATTATTTATAATATTATTGTATTTAGCTCTAACTGATGTTAAATATTATTCGTTGACTATATACTTTGTCTGTTCAAACTTTATTTTCGTTTTTATTGTTTTTGAATGTTTGTTGAGCTTTATTTAGTATTTTCATTTTTTTTATTAATGCTTAAGTTGAGTGTAAATCCTCATCCAAAATAGAAAGCCACCCTATATTAGTAGGTCACCTCTTTTAGCAGACCATTCTCAGGTCAATGTATAAAAGAATACCGCTGACAGTCTAGTCCAAATCAAAAAGCCAGTTGAAAAGCTGCAGTTCCTTGGCACATTTTAGAAAATCATGACCGTTTATTCTGGGGGTGGGAGGGTTAGCTCCTTTTCATTATTCAATGGTTATTATCAGGCCCGTAGCCAGGAGTTTTACGAAGGGGGGGATCGACCTTTTTTCCTTCAGTGGTAGTATGGAATTTTTTTCTGATTGAGCGTAGACGTTAAAAAAAATTAGCCGCAAGTCAGCTAATATTAGAGGAACAAAAATCTCTTTTCTCTTTTTTTCTATCACTACGAAAAAATGCTCTTCCGACGTCACTCATACACAGTTTTATTTTGACTGTCATAATATTGTGAACTGACTCTATAACATCTTCGGGACAGAGTATGGAAAGTACAGGAAGTTTGACGTTATTCAGCAGGGAAAAACTCATTTCTTCAGAAGTTCAGGGGGGACCGGTCTCCTCAATCCCGTCCCGGGCTACGGGTCTAGTTATTATTAAGACTTTTTATAAAATTATTATATTATGATTTTTCAAAAGTTAGTTAATATTTGACTTCTTTTTCGTTGTTATATTACTTAAAATTTATTTTTATTTGTTTTTTTTTTGTTGATTTTTAGAATTTTTTTGCAAGGTTTACTAATAGTAAGGAAGATTTGGATACTTATGTATTCTTTTTCCATTAGTAATATGGGTATAATTTTAATTAGAACGATGACAATGAACGGATGATTTCTATTAATTTTCTAAAATAGAATTGTTTTCTTTTATGTTTTTTGAAAATGGAAAATTACTTCATTACCGCAAAATCGACTTTTTATACGCAGGTTTTCAACGGTCGACTTAATATTTTTCGAGATCAGAATCCCTCAAAACGTTACTTTTGTTAATATTTTATCTAAAATAATTGAAATATCTGATACAATCATTTTTTAATTCAATTGTATTTTTCATTTTACTAATAGTTAGATGTGTTAGTTTAAGGTTTGTTAGTTTCGGATTATATTTTATTGACCATGGTATGCCAAAATCAAGCAAACCGGTACCTCTCCCAATTGTATAAGAACGAATATGTTTTCGATACAAGTGTCCAGATATATAAATATCGTCATGAATATAACACGAACGTGGTACATCTGTATAATTAAAGATTGTATCATCTATATCTCGACGACGATAAATTACACTACCGAATGCCGCTAAAATACCATAACATTTTCCACGTGTCGATCGCCAAGTCCATATTTTACTTCGAGGATTATATGTTTCACATAGAAATGCAGGAATTAAATTCCATGGTAAATTGAATACAGTTCCGATAAGATAAGCGAACGTTGAAGGATGATATAAACAATCATCATCAATGGTAATGATAAGCGAATCTGGATCTTTTTCAATATGTAATATACCTAAATGAAGGTAGATATGATTGTTATTCTGTTCAGACAGTAGAGTCTCATACTCTATATCCCGATCGGGACATATATACCGTTTTGAATCAGGATATAGCCAAAAAACATATATCCCAATCGGAATATAAATTCGATTTTTTAAAGTAAAATTCATTAGCGAAAAAATGATGATGTTCGTAGAACGTTTTGACCATACCGCTGAAAAGAGCGTAAAAACCGGCATCAGATCCGTTTTTCCGGTCAGCAACCTTTCTTTAAATAATTCTCGAGGTTTATATTCTATATCTCGGGCAGGATATTTTACGTTTTTTACTAGCTATTTTAACACTTTCTCAAAGTATCTTGACATTTTCTCTTACTCTGAACATACATAAGGCAGCGACACCCAGTAAAATGTTTAGTTAAATCCACGCTCGCCCACCATAATTTCTCGTTCGTACAGCGATGTAAACAACATTGTTTACAAAATAAGATTTCGGATTCGTAAATTGGTTTCAAAAGTTTAAAGTTTTAAACATACTAAAGCGTTTGCATCGCTCAAGTTCTGGCGGCTGATATGTTATGTTCTATATCACCTTTGCACTACAAGCACCATATTCACTAGTTTTTGGAGGTTTTAAACTACGGCCCTACTGTAAGGAAACTATATCCCGATTGGAATATATAAAACAGCAGATATCCCGCCCGATCGGGATATTAAAAAAAAATATTCCGATTGGGCTATAGTATCCCGATCGGAGTACATTTTTATATCCCAATTGGTATATATAGCTCGATTGGGATATATATCCTGATTGGAATATGGTTTCTCACTGTTAGATAAACATATCAGGTCAGGTATCCAGAATTAAATGAGACTCTTTTTATTTTCATTATAACTTGTTTTTGTTACGTTCTCCAGTCTTAATTTTCTTCTCAAGAGATGCGCTTTGAGCTGCTCTATAAAAAAATATACTGAACATATGTCTGTAAATCTCAAAAATGAAAACTATGGAGCAAATACTGTGAAGCTTCCATTTCCATTATTTTGTAATCTAAAAAACGACGAAAGAAAAGCTTATTTTGAACACAGTGGCTTGTATGAAAGTGGAATCAAAATGATATTTCTGCTGTTTCGAAGTGTCGTCTTTATTTTGCTGTATCCTATGTTCAATTTAGACCTATTTTTCCGATGTAAAATGCGATTTTACGAAAATTTACCCAAATAACTATAAATTGACTTTTTCATCTTAACAATCGAAAAGAAACAGAGCTATTGAACTTTCTTTATTCGGGTATAAGAGAAAAATTATTTTGCTTTACGATAAAACTAACGCGACCTCAGAATGTTTGATTCTGGCTGAGTTATAAAATTTTTTATAAGTGGCCAAAAGTGCACTTTGAAAATGATGATTATGGACAAAATCGATAAAAGAAAAAAGACTCTCCCTCAACCTTGTGATTAAAAAAGATCCATCTATTATTAGAAAAATGGCCACTGTACCGAGAGAACCCACGTGCAGAGTAGCTGGTAGAATATTTCATTTATTACTAATACCTAATAGCTTTGTACTTGGCCCATAATCCTTTCCTGTAAGTATTTGAATTTTTGGATAGTACTGTTTGACTAGTAAATTAATATTATGTGGTATTTGTTCATATGTAGTATTATATCGTTTAATTTCTTTGGGAATATTTAAATAGACAATGTCAGGCTTGTATGACTGACGAAATACAGTGTGTATAGTATCATCTATAAGTAATAGACGCGGTCCGAATGATGATAATGATACAATAACACGTGGAATATTTAATAGTTTTCGAGTTTTGGTAATATCTTGAACGTAAGATTCATCGAGAGATGTGAGTAATGGTATGAAAAATTCTGCATAAACGTAACTGTATAACTCATCTTTGAAATAGATAAATATACTTGAAGTACTGAATAATAAAATAACAAGAATGGAGCGTCTGCATGTAAACATTTTGGTCAGGTCTAAAGTAAACTAGAGAGACACAGTGTCATTCAGTACATTACGAGAGAAAAATGTGGTAAAGGTTACATAATAATTGCATCTATAGAAAATCAGCGAAACAATCATTTTGATAAAAAAAAGTTTGTGATACTGTGAAAAATAAAAAAAGTCTTGTTAAAAAAAAAGGAAATGAAATGTAAGTTATTTCTAGATGTCAAAAAGCAATTCTTTTTAGGAAGTAGAAAGTTTTTCATTTTGTATTTTTAGAATGTAACTATCTCTTGAAATTGTTATTGTGGAAGTTCAACATACGCTTTAGATGACAGCACATATCGTAGAGAAAACGTAAGAGTGACAATTGTGAGATGTTAAGCATGTGCGGTGATATTTTTATCAGTATAATTTTCATTTGCGCCACATTGTGGCGCAAGTATTAAAAAATCGATGATATGCGTTAGATGACTAAATGTTCTCGTGAATAGATAGACTTATTGCAATTTTGCTTGTCAAGATGAACGTGCCAATTTTTTAATCTGGCAGTTCTTATCTTTAACAATTAATTTCATATAACATATTGGACATTGTCTTTTCTATTAGATGTCGGTAAAAATCTAAATCTAGTTTTTAAACTTCAAAAATCAATTTGCATGCAAAGCAAAGGACCCCGCCGAGTAAGTCCGCAAATCTGCCCTTCCGCCCTCCCCTTGAAACCAAACTATTATATTATGGTTGGATAGAGGATTGTTAGGCACATCCGAACCTGTTGTCGGTTCTCTAAAATTGCTTGTTCTTGGGTGGAAAATCAACTTTTTCCTCATATACTCTCCAGTGTGGAGTGATTTCGATTAAAAATGTAATAACTCAACAACGAAAGTATATATCGGAAAACAGTTTCCACTAATAAACTTCGAATTTATATTCGTAATGTTAAAAACTGGTAACTTAGTCGTCTGAAATAGTAGAAACTTGGTCAGCATCTCATTTTATGGAGAATTGAAGGTTCTACTCAATGATATGATTGAAAAACTTCTGAAAGAAGCTTTAAATCACCACTGGGTTTTTCAGAGATCTCTATCTCAAGATCCCGCGGTGTAGCATAATTTTTCTTCATCGAAATATATAGAACTCGACGCGCTCTTTCATTTGATACCACCCTGAAGGTTCTACGTTAGGGAATGTGGCCAGTAGACGTTTTACACGTTAGGCCATATTTGCCGAAAAAATGATGAAAATGCGTTTTTCCCAAGGGGGAAAAGGCGGAATGGGCTGGAATGGGCCATTCCGTACCATTCCAAACATTCTTGACCATTTTGGAATGGTATGGAATGGCCCATTCCAACCCATTCTATACCATTCCAAAACGCTTTTTCCCCCTTGGTTTTTCCGCTGTTATAACTTATTACTAAAATGGCTATAACTTGTTTTCTAACAAGGCTAGAGACTTGCGGTTGCCACCATTCGGTTCAGCTTGCTGAGCTCTATAATATGAGATAGGTCTCGTCACTGACGTCAAAGATCGATGCAAATGGTGGCACGGTTTATATGGATTGAGCCCATTGTTGATGCCGAGTTTTTCCATCTGATCGAACGTGCCGCTACAATATCTCTGAACAGACAAAATATTTTTTGGCCAAATTTTTACCATAATAACTAATCTATATGAGGATGTTTTGGGGAAACTTTGGCCGATGCGGTATGTCAAATATTCGAGTTATTGAAATTTCAAGTTTTTCGAAATTTTTATATTTTCTCATTTTGAAATCATGTTTTGTGTGTTCAATGGTTAAGTTCATTGTGGATATAGAAAGATGATTTTGTGTAGTATTTGATGGGAAGTTTATTAGTGAAAACCGTTTCTCGATATGTACCTTCGTTGTTGAGTTATAACATTTGCGGTCTTATCCGGCAGGATCCTTTAATATCCGTGATAAACGTAACAAACTGAGTAATATGACAACTTTGTCAAAAAGTATTTTTCATCGTACTTTTTTTTTCATTCCTGTAAAGGTAAAATTTTTTCGAAAATGTCTTGAAAGGGTAAACATTGTACACTAATGGAACCGTAAAATTAAAAATATATAAAGTATACTTACTTTATTGAAAACTCTAGTTTATAATATTAAATTCAATGTGATTAAAGTGATTCTATCGAGGTAAGAGTTTATAGAACATATACTATATAATCTATTTTCAATATGATACTTTTGGCACTTATAGCGACAGTTGTGACGAGTATTCACTTGCCGAGTACATTCAATGAAGAATTTGTGTCCGTATGTGTGCAGTAAAGGTACACGTTATATAAATAAAAAAGACATTATTTCTTTCGATATATATATATATATTTTTTTTTTTTCGTTTCTTTTCAATGAATATGTCGTTGTTTTACATCATTGTATAAAATTTTCATTCTTCTATTTTTTTCTCTCTTTTTCTAACAACGAACCAGAGAATAAAGTTGCCGTTGTTCTTCTGCAAAATGAATAAATACATGTACTTCTTGATCAAATATTATTTCATGTCAGCGGCAAGCTCAATTGATGAAAATTCCTGAATGTTTCTCTCATTTTTCTTCAGATAAAAAAAGTGAACTTATTTTATCCTTTAGTTAAAGTGTATATATTGATTTTCTTTTATAAATGTTAAATTCTATATATATCTATACATTATTAAAATGATTTTTATTTGTTATCTGGGTTCGTACTTAAAAATACTATTTCATTTTCTAGTTTCTAAGCATTTAAAACTATTTTTAAATTAAATAGAAATTTAGAATGGTAAATATATTGCACAATGTGCAAAGATCTAAAACATGATATTAGCTAAATTAATATTTTGTCGAATAATTGTTACTACTATCAATAGAGTAGTGCGTTTTTATTTTAAAAAAATTAGAATGATCATACCACTGGGATACCAAATCTTATTTATAGGTTAAGTATACAATTCTTCTAACTGTTACAAGCGTCGTATACTGATATATTTTCCCGAACGAAAGTTTAGTGATGTTCAAATATGACGCACATTATTCACCTTGTCAACTATTGTGATTTTTTGACCTGCTCTCAAAGCTCTGACCACTTTTGTTACTTATTTGCCTATTTCACATATCATCAGTTCAGTTCAGTTTAACGCAGTTTATTCTGGCATAACCATGGATACATGAAAAATCTTTGCTAGTACAAAAGTTTGTAACAGAAGTATATGCGTTCGATTAATAACCGAGACAGATAACTTTTTCAATATGCCCACAGAGAAAGAAGCGAAAGGACAAACAAAAAAGTAAAGAAGAGGACAAAATAACAACAGAAAAGGAAACGAGAATAATACAAAATATTAACAAACAAAAAACATCATTAGCCTCACATGTGAAGAAAGAGTTTGAGAGCATCTTTAAAAGTAGAGGGAGATGGTTCTGAGACTATATGCTCCATTGGTAGAGGATTTCAGTCATTAGGGATTCTCCAGAAAAAAAGAGGACTGGTCTGTCTCATAAGTAATAAAAGGCACTTCTATCGCTCGAGAATTCGTGCCACGGTGAAGGGATTTCGCGTTCCTAACTGCAGTTATATACTCTCTCTTGACGATTGAGGAGAGAAAAGTTGTTGTATAGTTTGTAAAAAGAGACAAAGCGAAAGAAGCGCCTACTCACTGTAAGATCAGGCAGTCGTAATTGGGTAACCAGAGTACCACTGTCTGTTTCAAGGTCAAAGTTTCTGGTAAAACTTCGGGCCGCAAGCTTCGGAAGGGAATCTAGTGGAGCAAGATGTGTGGAAAAGTTCGAGTCGTAAACTGCCGAGCAATAATCAACTTTGGATAGAACACAAGTCTTATAAAGAGCAAAACGAATGGCTTGTGGTGCGCCTCGAAATACGCGATTTAATACTCCTGGCATGCGCCTGCATATCAAAGCAAGTTCACTAATGTGGGTAGACCGCTTAAGATCGCGCGAAAGACGTAAACTTAATAGTTTAGAATCACTATCAAGAGAAAGAGGATAGTTGTCAGGAGAAAGCGAAAAATGAGGGTCCATGGACCCTTTGCCCTATTTTAACGAACTGCGTACGATTCGACAGATATGATTCAAGCCATTCTAAAAGCTTTCCACCAATGCCGATAGATTTAAGTTTGTTTAAAAGTTGGAAGTTGGCACGCGGTCAAACGCTGTCGATAGATTGAACCTCAGACCAACACACTGTTCTTTGTCATCATTTCTTTTGTTCATACTAATGTACAGAGTATGAGTTTCTCTTAGCAATGATTTTATGGTTCGAACATGAAGGTCCAAAACCAAACTGAGTGCTACTGAGCAGATTATCATCAAGTAAATGGTCGCGTGATGGTTTCCATTGACAGAGAAAGATACCTGTTGATGACTGAATTATATGTAATAACTGTCTTCCTCAAACACGATGGCACAATTAAATAAATATCAGTGACAAGCCGTGAACTCCAACACTGACTCGTCAGAGAATAAACAAAGAATGAGTCGAAACCCTCTCATTGCTATACAATGTTTGAAAAATCGTATAAGAAATGTTATTTTACTGTTATGTACGCTCAATAATTGTCCATTTTTCTATTGTTACCCTGTGTAAATAGTATTTTTTTCTTTCTTTTTGCACTTCCATAAGTATCATTTTGTATGTAGCGATGCTCTTTTTAACGAATAATAGAGAGAATATATGCGGACGAAAGTTATAGTCATTATATTGTTTGCATGAAAAAAAGGTGATAATTTTATTTATACTCTTGTTTCAGAAGATTTCGGAAGTTCCAAGATTGGGGAAAAAATACACCATCGTTTATAGTAGAAAACGTTTATACCGTTTATATAAAATGTCAAAAAAATTCCCAGACCTTTGTTGACACAAGAGCATTGAATAGGCTTCAAAAAATAATAGTTCTATTTTAGTCGGTTGATAGTTTTTGATGAGATGAATCCGATGCTACTAAGCCTAACTGAAAACAGTTTCGATTGAAATTTATTGCAACAACTGAATTTTTCA